TCTTACGGGTTTGAAATGACATGAGGGTGAGTAATTAATGACAGAATTTTCATTTTTGGGTGAACTAACCCTTAACCCTTTAATGGGGCGGTTTAAAGTAGCCAAGTGATGACAAATTAATCTGTGCAAACATGATTCAATGTGTGTGTGTGTCCTCCTATGTGAAATTATCACGAATACCAGTTTGTTACACTGCAAAAAAAAAAAAAAAAAAATAATAAAAACATTCTTAATTAGTCGTTTTGTCTTGTTTTTCAGTTAAATATCTAAATTATCTTAAGGTTAAGAAGCTGTACTTTATTGTCCCAGAGGGAAATTTGTCTCGTACTCAAAATACAGCCACTGCATCACAACACTTAAAAACAGTGCACTGCACAATAAAAAACAGACACACATTAGTCTCCGACTCACTTAAATATCTATATTTAACAACGCCGTTAAATATCTTGCTGCAATGGCAAATTGTTCACTTTAAAAAAAAAATAATTCTGTCTTACTGCACTGACAAATTTTTCACTTTTTAAAAAAATATTATTTTGTCTTACTGCACTGGAAGATGCTTTCACTTATTTATTTATTTTTATTTTATTTGAAATTTTTTACTGCACTGGCAGATGCTTTCACCTATTTTTATTTTTTATTTTATTTTACATTTTTTACTGCACTGGCAGATGCTTTCACCTATTTTTATTTTTTATTTTATTTTACATTTTTTACTGCACTGGCAGATGCTTTCACCTATTTTTATTTTTTATTTAATTTTAAATTTTTTACTGCACTTGCAGATGCTTTCACTTATTTTTATTTTTTATCTTATTTTTTTATTTTTACTGCACTGGCAGATGCTTTCACTTATTTTTTATTTATTTTTTAATTTTTTTTACTGCACTGGCAGATGCTTTCACTTATTTTTTATTTATTTTTTAATTTTTTTTACTGCACTGGCAGATGCTTTCACTTATTTTTTATTTATTTTTTTTTTATTTTTTTACTGCACTTGCAGATGCTTTCACTTATTTTATTTTTTTTATCTTTTTTTTTTTTTTACTGCACTGGCAGATGCTTTCAAATTATTATTATTATTATTATTTATTTTTATTTTTTACTGCACTGGCAGATGCTTTCACTTATTTTTATTTTTTATTTTATTT